TCTTTCTTGATTTCTTCTCTGACCCAGGTGTGGTTCAGTAGTTGACTGTTCAGTTTCCATGAGTTTGTCGGTTTTTTGGGGGTCGCGTGGTTGTTGCCTTCTAACTTTAATCCGTGGTGATCTGATAAGACACAGGTGGACACTGATATTTTTTTGTATCTGTGGAGGTTTCCTTTGTTTCCGAGTATGTGGTCAATTTTTGAGAAGGTTCCATGAGCTGCAGAGAAGAAGGTGTATTCTTTCCTATTTGGGTGGAATGTTCTATAGATGTCTGTTAAGTCCATTTGCTTCATATCCTCCAATAATTCTCTTAATTCTCTATTAGGTTTCTGGCTGATTGACCTGTCCCTTGGAGAGAGAGGTGTGTTGAAGTCTCCTACTACTAGTGTGGGTGGTTTGATGTCTGCCTTGGGTTCTAGTAATATTTCTTTTACATAAGTAGGTGCTTTTATATTGGGGGCATAGATATTCAGGATTGAGACGTCATCCTGATGAATTGTTCCTGTTATGAGTATAAAGTGACCATCTCGGTCTCTTCTGATTGATTTTAGTTTGAAGTCAGTTTTGTTAGAAATTAGTATGGCCACACCTGCTTTTTTCTTAGGACCATTTGCTTGAAACACCTTTTCCCAACCCTTTACTCTGAGTAGGTGCCTGTCTTTGTGGTTGAGATGTGTTTCTTGCAGACAGCAGAATGTTGGATCCTGTTTTCGTATCCAATCTTTTAGCCTGTGCCTTTTTATAGGTGAATTGAGCCCATTAATATTAAGTGATATTAATGACCAGTGGTTGTTTACTCTGGTTATTCTTATTGCTTTTGATAATAGAGATTGTGTGTCTCCCTTCTTTGAGATGTGCTGGTGAAGGGTCATTAGATGCCTGGGTTATTGTAGGCCGTGTTGGCTATGTTGGATTCCTTGGGTTGCGATTTTCCTTCTAATACTGTCTGTAGGGCTGGATTTGTGGCTACGTATTGTTTAAATTTGTTCTTATCCTGGAATGTCTTGTTTTCTCCATTGATAATGAACGATAGCTTGGCTGGGTATAGTAATTTGGGTTTGCATCCATGGTCTCTTAGCTTCTGCAGTACATCTGTCCAGGACCTTCTGGCTTTCATATAGTTTCCATAGAGAAGTCAGGTGTAAGTCTGATCGGTTTACCTTTATAAGTTACTTGCCCTTTTTCCTTTGCAGCTCTTAATATTCTTTCTTTAACCTGTATATTTTGTGTTTTGATTATTATATGGTGAGGAGATGTTTTTCTTTGATCCAGTCTGTTTGGTCTTCTGTATGCTTCTTGAATATTTAAATGAATATCTTTCTTTAAGTTGGGAAAGTTTTCTTCCATAATTTTGTTGAAAATATTTTCTGGGCCTTTGAGCTGTGACTCTTCTCCTTCTTCTATTCCTATTATTCTTAGGTTTGGTTTTTTTTATTGTGTCCCATAGTTCCTGAATGTTTTGTGTTGAGAATTTGTTGGCTTTGCAGTTTTCTTTGATCAGAGTGTTTATTTTCTCTATGGTGTCCTCAGCATCTGAGATTCTTTCTTCTAGCTCTTGTATTCTCTTGATTATGCTTGTTTCTGTAGACTCTGCTCATTGACCTAGATTTTCCATATCCAGCTGGTCCTCAGTTTGTATTTTCTTCCTTGCCTTCATTTCAGTTTTCAATTCTTGAACTGTTTTCATTACCTGTTTGATCGTTTTTTCTTGGTTTCCCAGGGTATCATGTACGTATTTACTCATTTCTTCAAACTTTTTGTTATACTTCTCATCCATTTCTATAAGGGCATTTTTTACATGTTGTTTAAGGGACTCTATTGCCTTCATAAAGTCGAATTTTTTCCACTTCTCTGTGTTAGGTTGTTCAAATACTTCTGTTTTAAGATCATTGGGTTCTGGTGTTTTCATGTTGTTTTTCAGATTATTGGGTGAATTCTTGCCTTGGCGCCTGCCCATCTCCTCCTATTGATCCTATCCAATGGGTCTTTTAAAAACCGGATCAGGTTTCCCTGCTGGCCAAGGGCTCCGCTTACAAAATGCCCTCTCTCTGTTTCCTGGTTCCTGCCACAGGCCAAGAACCCTCTCACTCCTCCGAAGGATCTTCAGGACAGGACCAGGCTCCCCGTGTGCCAGTGACCTGGCCAACCAAAGGCCTACCTCTTTGATTTAATTGTAGTAAGGCGATCTGCTCTCCCTATTGCACGCCTGTCCCCACCGCTTGGGTCTGCCACCGCGCCCGTCCTCCAAAGTCTCCTCCTGAATGCGGTGTCACTCCGCCTTGTCTGGCTGCCACACCTCTGCGTCTGGCCACCGTGCTGCCTCTGTGCATCTGGCCACCGTGCCGCCTCTCTCAAACCATTTTCTTAAGGCTATAATATGAAGGAAAAAACTGAGTCCCAATATCCAATAAATGGATATATATAAGCCTTGCAGAATACAAACCATAGTATCAGCAAAAAGGTTACTAAAATTTTCCAATGTTGTCTGCTATTGTAAAACTTTCAAGTTTATTACTTATTAATTAATGAAATATTTACCTGTGTTCTGAGGTCCAATAAATTGTTTTAGGTGTAATAATCTTTATTGCCCAGCAGGTGTTGTGGTTGCAGAGTCATGACCAGCGTTGCAACCAGTGGCGCCATGAACAGTCCTGGTCACTTTGGTTTTCTGCCTGCTGCTGCTTAAATACTAACAAATGTATTTTGCTTGACAAATTAAAAGCAAGTAAAACAGTTCTGTACATGGAGCAAATGTCCCAGAACTCAGGAGCAGGGAGCACAAACCAGACGCTGTGCAAGTCGCTGAACGTGGTAGTTGGGGGAGGGTGTGTGCTTTTACATTTTGTGTTGTTTTGTTCTCTTTTATCTTTGTTTGTCTGTTGTTGTTTTTTCAGTTTGTTTTGATTTTCATTTCTTGAGGTTTTTTCTTATTTTTCTGAGAGGGAGATAATCTGAAATTGAGTGGATAGGGAGGTGAAGAGGACCTAGAAGGAACTGGGCCAGGGTGGGAGGGAAGAATATGATGAAGATGTCTGATTTGAACCTCTCCAGGTCTTAAGCATCCTGTCACAGTCTCTGTGAGTTCATGTGGGTATGAGCTCTCCAGTGTCTGGAAGGTGCTGTTTCCTGGACTCATCTACCACCTCGGGGTCTTACACTCTTTGTGCCACCTCTTCCACTTAGATCCCTGAGCCTTGAAGAGAGGGGTTTGATAACAACTGCCCATTTGGAGCTGAGCTGAGTGCTACAGAGTCAGACTCTGGACATTGTCCAGTTGGGGGCCTCTGTGTTAATTTCCATCTACTGCAAGAAAAGCTGCTGTGAGGAGTGCCGAGGGATGCTCTGACCTTCTATCTGATGGATACCAATACAAATAGTACTCTAACAATTATTATTATTATTGTAATAAATGATGGTAAATCTTTTAAAAATTGCCACAGAATTAGAAAACACCCTGAGTGACTGCATTAGGAGACCTAAGGATTTGGAATATGTGTTTAAACACTTTCTCAAAGATCTGAGGGGAGACCAGAAGGAAATCTAAGCCAGCTTTAGTGAAAAGAAAATACAGCTAGAGTCTAGAACACCAGACAGAGGTCAAGGTAGACAACTGAGAGGTGGGGAACGAGGTACAGCAAAGTTGTCACATTGAGTCTTTGTCCACTGAAGCATGAAGTGGGCATGAAAACTTCATCTTGTCCAGAATGACATAAGTTTGGGGTGTAGAAACTGTACTTCACTGTCTCTGATCAACCTAGAAAGAACAAATAATTTCATTCTATCACTTTTTATTTTAGCTCTATAGGTAGTCAAAGACTGTTTTCTGTGCCCCAAATTCAGGGTGGGTATGTGAGATAAGTTATAGCTAACTGAATTCACTATTGTTGATTTTACCCCCTATGTTTTGTTAGTTTTAATCCTAAAATGAATAAGTAATATATTCTCTCAGTTTACCTTTTGTGGCTAGTTTGAGAACGTAATATCATCGTTTAGTTTGACTAAGCATGACAAATGGCTTGCTGAAAGGGTACTGTTTGAAGGGTCTTGCTGCGTAGACCCGAACAGTCTTGAACTCACAGAGCTCCACCCGCCTCCACTTCCCTAGGATGAGGCAGAAGGGTGTGCCACCACCACCGTGCTAGTATTTCAACATTTTAAGTTGCTATATTGAGAATCTGCCTCTTCTTCAAATTCCATAGCTCCCTATCTATCCTAATAGATTTCCAAGGGATTAAAAGCGCAGGGAAAGGAAGACCCTGTTAATTTTCCTAAACATTTGTATGCTGTCGTACCTCACCTAGCACCAACATGGTAGAAGTGGAAAATCTCATACCATGAAAACTTCCTGTGGTACCTCATTATGTATAGTCAAATATCCCAACAAATGAAGTCAAAGCCACTGCTGATCTCAGGCATCTAGAGCAAGGGATATTCAGCCTGAAATACTTGTTTTATTTCTGGCTTCCCAAGAAAAAAAAACATAACCAAACTCTCAAGGAATATAACTTCTTCCTTTAAAAAGAGGTGAGGGTCCAGGCAGTGGCACTCAGGAGGCAGAGGCAGGTGAATATCTGTGAGTTCAAGGCCAATCTGGTCTACAGAGTGAGTTCCAGGATAGCCAGGATTACACAGAGAAAACCTGTCTCAAAAAACATAACAGAAGCAAACAAAAAAAAAATTGTTACACTTCTATTTATTGACTTTGAAGGGAGACAGTGCATCAGTGTATGCAGGGTGCAGGTGTGTATGGAGGTCAGGGAACAACTTGCTGGAATCAGTTCCCTTCCCACCACGTGGATCCCAGGGATTGACTCAGTCTTCTTAGCAGCAAGTGTCTTTATCCGCTGAGTCATTTGCGGACCCCATAACCTCTTCTTAACTGGGTTAAACCTTCTGGAATAGTCTAAGCAAGATTCTGGGTTATTTGGAGGACTGGCTGGCCAACCTTACCAAGCATACCAATGATACAAGGTATCACTGGTTTCCTACTTTCTTTTCAGGATCAGAGGTTCAGCAATCTTGGAGACACAATAAGAAAAGTATTTGAGAAGAATTACAAAATATTATTTTCAATCAAGAAAACAAGAAAACAACTTCAACCATGTAAGCAAACTGTTTTGTTTACATAGTTTTTCCTATTCTCTCCACTACCCATTATTAGCATTCAGGCATTATGCTGGCATGTCCTCTGTCCTCTGGCAGGATGCGCTTGCCAGTAATCAGGCAGTACTCTGAACTGCTCATGGTCCTGACAATGTCATCAGCTACACATCAGATATGTTACTACAGCTACACCCCCTTTAAAAGGAGGGGCTCTGCCGCCTGTCTTCTGTCTCTGTCTCTCTTTGTATCTCTCCATGTCTGTCTCTCTGTGTCTGACTCTGCTTCTCTGTACCTTTGTCTCTGTCTCTCTGACTCTCTATCTATCTGTGTCTGTTTCTGTGCATGCCTGTATTCTGTATTTCTTTCTCTTTCCATGAGGCTGCTCTGCACTCCATTTCTCTCTCTCTTCCCTCTCCCACAAAAAAAAAAAAAAAACTCTCCACACAAGCATTGTTGGCAAGGTGTGTGCTTCTCTTTCTCACCCACTGTGTGTCCTCTTTGCTCCAACCAGTGTCAAGGTCTCTCTTGCACCATCTTCAAACATTGGTGCTGAGACTCAGCAGGCCCCTCCCAGCACCCTGAGGCATGATGGGACCCTAGACCAAGTTCATCTACAACAGCCTTGCTGCTCCAATTAATGGATCGCCGGACCCCTCCATCTAACACTGACATGATTGGTGATCCCACCTCTTCTCTGACCATGTACCCACGAATCAGGATCCTTCTCTCAACTGTGGTTTCTCACATTTCTCTATCCCAGTACTGAGTAACCATGTGTCCCTCAGGCTCAGAGTGCCCCGTGCCCCCACCCCCACTATGAACTTTTGTATGCTGATAAAATATATGTTAGATTTGTTACAACATACTGTACATCTGGTCTAAAATATAGTCTATATGGTGATAAAAGTTTGAGGTTATGAAGATCTATTCAGAGTAACAAAACCTAACATGACGATTTACACATAAGTTATTATATCTTTGCCAAATATTCAACACCAAACTTCTAGAGAATTTAAATAAGTGGTAACATTAGTTTGATAAAAAGGTATTTGATAAATAAGATATATATTCTATACTGAAATGACTAATCCCTAAGAGGGTCCTTTTCCCAGAGTTGGGTACTTGGGTAGAGGCCCTAAGGCCTGTCAAGGGCAGTCCTGGCCTCTGTGCTCCCTCAGTCCCTGCTCATGGGCCACACCCCAACTCACAAGACCTCTTTTCTCCTGTTTCCTTTCGGCCCTGATGATCTCTCCCTTGTTGCTTTTCCTTGCCTTCTCAGGAGATAGTCTTAGTTTGGTACAAACTTGCTTTTACCGACAGAATGGCTATTTTGGCATCTTTTCTGAGTCCATTATCTGTGATTAAAAAGTTGAAGCTCTTTTAGTGTCAAAATAATGACATTAAAAGAGCTTCAATTCAAAATCATTATTTTTAAGGTTAACCTGACAGGAATGTGATGTATAGTCCTATATTATGGGGGTGCAGACCTATTATAGTCTGTAAGGAATACAAGTTCATGGCCGTCTTATAAAAGAGCAAGTTGGTTAATTGCAGTCATTCTAAGAGCTGATGAAATTAGTTACAGAGATAAAACCTACCTAGTCCCCTGTATGTTTTCAGAGATAAGCTTAAAACAAGTTAATTAGAAACAAAGTTCATCTATTGAGATATACCTAATAGATACTCTTCAAATGCTCAGAGGTCTGAGAGCATAGCATTTAAAATGTTTAATTAAAAAAGCTTTTCATAATAGAGAGATGTGTCAGCTCCTGGCAGGACCCTTATTTCAGCCAAAGAAGATAGATGGAAAGAGAAGAGCCTTCACCCAGAACGTGCTTCACAAGTGGCAGCACTAACCACTGACCAAAAACCACCTTTCACCTCAATTGCTGCTAAGACCTCTTCAGACCGTGGACAAAGCAGGACACTGGGGAATCGCGTACCTCGAGTGGCCTAGACAAACGTAGGCTCGTCTTCCCATGAGTTCCTACTCCACTGGATCTTCTGAGGCCTGGCAGTCCTACACCTTCCAGTCAAAGGCTTGCCCTGAGACCTCTGCCCTCATGATCGTGGATGACCCTATTGTGTATACAGTATTCTGCCTACATGCATGCCTGCAGGGCAGAAGAAGGCACCAGATCTCATTACAGATGGTTGTGAGCCACCACATGGTTGCTGGGAATTAATTGAACTCAGGACCTTTAGACAAGCAGGCAGTGCTCTTAACCACTGAGCCATCTCTCCAGCCCGTCTCTGTCATTTTTAATCACTAACTCAGGTAAAATGTATCCTTCTCAGAACTCTGATGCTGTTTGATGGCTAGGCTAGAGGTAGCTTTATGAATTTACTAGCAACAAGCAAGGCTCCAGCTGCCTTCTCAGTTCTCTGTACAAAATTAAAGTCACGGGCCTCATACTCCCAAAGCTAATACTAAGTCTAAGCATTTTTACCAGACTCAGAAGGGAGATAAACTCACAAAACAGATTTCGGTATAACTTCTTACCATTCCTTTGTTTAAAGGAACTAACTTTACAGTGACGGCTCTCAGTGGTCAGCCACCTGGCGAATTAGATATAAAGATAGAAATATTTAAGTGATAAAAAAGAGAAAGTGATCTGAGCTGCATAAAAGAATAAAATGTTTCCGATTTCTTTCCCTCACTATGCTACTATTGCATTCAGATCACAGTCTCAACAGTAATCAATGAAATTCTGATAAATTATTAGTTATCTCTGGCAAAGTACTAAACACCATGCTATCACTATACGATCTTAGTTCCCTCTGGCTGTTTTCTAAATATAGACTTTAAAGGTGCTTTTCATTGTGCTAAAAACATCTGCCACAATTTTCCAGACAGAAAAAAAAGAATATTATTGCTTTCAACCACAATCATTTTTTGGTCCCCAATGACTCAATGATATGAGTTTCGACAAGGTGGATTTCAGTACAGATCATAAACAGTGGAAATGTTAATGTGTTTAAAACTTAACTTTTCACAAACTCAAAGAATTCTTGTAAGCTCCAAGGAGCTGACTTGGATTCACCTCAAACAGGTCAGATGTACCCCCTCAATAAAGTACAGTCAATGTCCCTGGTCTTGACACTCCCCATTCTCAATTACCAGGACCTAAAACTTTTTTCTTAAACTTAAATTTGTCCTCTGCTCTGCCAGCATCATGCCAGGTACAAGGGGCACCAGATGGCCCCACAGAGCCTGGATAACAGTAAAACAGCCAGATATTCCTGGACATGACCAGCACCCCAGCAATCTCAGGTCCAACCAAGATACTAATGCCCCAAATCAGCAGGAAGCAGTCTCGAAAACTCGGCGGTACCCTCACTCCCCTAACTTGCCACCCCTAACTCCTCACCTTGTGATAATAAATGAAAGGCAGTAACCTTAGCATTCAGGCATTATGCTGGCCTGTCCCCCATCACCTGGCAGGATGCGCTTGCCCGTAATCAGGCAGTACTCTGAGCTGCTCAGGGTCCTGACAGCATCATCAGCTACACTGGTACAGAAACATGCTCCTTTAAAAGATGGTGCTCTGCTGCCTGCCTTCTCTCCTTCTCTCTGCTTCTCTATCTCTCCATCTGTATCTCTGCCTCTCTATCTCAGTATTTCTGTATATATATATATAGCCATGAGGCTGGTCTGTGCTCCCTTTCTCTCTCTCCCCTCTTTCCTCCCCCACCCCAATTAAACTCTCCACATGAGAGCTCTCTGTACAGATGTCTCTCTCACCCACTGTGGGGCCTCTTGGCTCCAACCAATCAAGGTCTCTTGCATGCACTTTATAACACCTATTCCTCCAGCAGAACAATGCTCAGAGAGCCCACCCTCCCCTCTGCCCTTCTGTGTAAATGACCTGCCACATTTCTGCTTTGGACTTTCTATATTGTCCTTCCTGTTCAACTACCTTCCTAAATGAAACCTAACGTTTACAATGTGCATCACAATGGTGAACTGTCAGGTGCTGAGGGAGCCCACTGAGAAGGTGACTTTGAAAACAAGATTGTACCCCTCCCCCATTGTAAACCCAAGTACATTTGTCTCCAAATGTCCTCCAAAGCATCTTTTCTAAGGATGACTTTGCCCCTTGAAACCAGTGACTAGGTGGAGATCACAACAAAACAGACCGGGAGTCAACACACCGTCCTTGGGAACAGCTAGAAGATGAACCATGTCTAACATAAACTAAAATTGTTCATCTTGTAATGTAAAATGGGAACGAGAAGTCAGAAGTTCAACCCTGGGAGCTCAGTCATGGAGAGAAAACTCAAATAGGAGCTGTGGCCGACTGCTGGACTTCCACAGACAGTTTCTGCTGACTGCCGTGAGCATCCAATTTGATGATGTAGTCTCTCTGTTGTTGTTTATTCTTCAACCTGGAAGCCTCACCAATGATAACTCTGCTCTGCCCTGGACTCCACTGGGAACTCCAGACCCCACCCACACCACCTCTACGGGAGGTCCCCAGTCAGTTCCTCCCACATATTTCAAGTACATGATGAGCAATGATCTGTTGTTTTTCTCTTTACTTTTTTACTTTGGTTTGTTACATACTTAATAAACTCATTCAAAACTCAAAGTATGGCGATCATTGTAGTTTCTCAGGATTGAGCAGAACATGACGGGGTGGGTCAACAGTCTCTTGATAAGAAAAGCAAACGTCTGCCTTACTCACAAACCTAACATTAAGGGGTAAGCAGGTTTCAAATGTGATTTAAAATGACTATTGACAATAATAACTGTTTATGTCTCTGAGAATGATTAGGTAAGAAAAATATAAAAGTCTAAATAAGTTTTGAGTATCTAAGAAAATGTTCTAAACTATGAAAATTTAAATAAGTCAGGGTTTAAATAAATGATTTATGGGCCTGAGAATGTAATTTTTATAGACATATAAAGTCTATGTAAAGCCCGAGGACATTAGAGTCTCTGAAATATATAAAGTTCTGAGGATATAAAACTATAAATAAGTTCTTTGAAAATGATTTAAGATATACATAGATGATTTAAGCTATGAAAAATGCTTCAAATTTCTTTCTCTTCCTGTAATATTGTTATACAGGGTTTCAAAAGTTCAGAATTTAACATTAATAGGATTCTGATAACGTGATAGAGCAAAAACTACTAACTGTTTAAGTCACAAGCTCAAGATTTCAGATTTCTTTTGATTGTCTTCTAAATATAGGTTGAAAGATGTTTCGCATCAGGCTAAAGACATCTCTTTCCAACCTATATGTGCCTTTATGGACAGAGGGAAATGTATGTGCTCTTGAACCCAAATCTATAACTTTTGCTAGGACTCAAAACTATGAGTCTCCTGCTGTTATACAGATACCTGTTACCTGTTTTTCTGCAATAGATATTTCAGTTCAGATTGATAATACTAATGTATCTATAACTTTTATGTCTTTTTTATAAAATGAAAAATCAGATAAACTTCAGAGAATAGAGAGTATCATAAAATTTGGGTCCATTTCTCATGGGTCAAAGGACTCCAGATCAATACAGCCTGAGTTTCCCCACCTGACTGTTCCTGAGGATGTTATTTCTTCTCTCTCCTGGTCTTGGGTCTTCTCTCCTCCCCATTTGCTTAGGACTATGGGCCTAAATGTTCCAAATACAATATTTTCCTTTAAGTTCATAAATTTTAACTTCTGTTCCTAGTCCACATTTGTCTCAACAGGCTGGCAGATACATCCAAACTTGAATTGCTGACTCCAACCTGCTCCAAATGACTATGAGCCCTGGACTTGCTAAAGACTGGTATGGACCAATCCAGCTGATGTAAATGCTGTCTCTGCAGCCGGTCAATGAACCAGATGCTTCTAAATTCCTTCCTTGCCTTTGACTAACATTCTAGCCTTCCAGGGCCCTAACAACAACATCCTAGTTTCAGCAGGAAGTAATTACAGAAGAGAATGCATTGTCCCTTGTCTCCTCCTGGAATGTTAGATCAAATGGAATTTCTTGTCTTAGGGAACCTGAGGTAAAATAATAACTGCTCCCCATTCTCATTTCCAAATTCCTTCTAGATAAGAAACTCTGTCAACCATCACAGGACTTTTGGACCCTCTGCTTCTACTGAATGCTACTGGCTCTTGCGTCATTGAAGCCTTAAATAAATGATATTTCCTGTCTGGATACCGCTAAGCTGATGATGCTAAAATCCCAATATCAGCTCCTGAACCAAACCCATGACACACAAACTTGCAGATGTCAACTACTGAATAAGGGAGACTCACTTTACCATTAGTGCTGGAAATTGGTCTCTGCTTGAGGCAACCTCTTTTCCCATCTTTGTAATCTCACTCAGAATCCAATGGCAGCTGGCTTCTTGATTCAACCGATGACAACTGGTTGACAGCCTGTGTTAATACTCAGGTTTTAAATCAGACCAAGGATTTCTGCATCTTGATCCAGTCAGAATAGTCTACTTCTCTTTTACCAATTTGAAACATCACCAGAATGGGAAAAAAAATGAGAAGTCATTGCAACTGTCTTGTTACCCACCATCCAAGGCATCAGCTTAGCAGGGGCAATAGGTACAAAAACTTCAGCCTTGGTACTACAAGAGTTAGAACCACACTACAGGGCCGTGAGAATGGCAATAAATGCAGATGTCATTGCCCTAGGAAATTTGTTGCACATTTGGAAGAATCAGTCTCCTTTCTAGGTGAAGCACTTCTACAAAGCAGAAGGAGCCTTGACATATTGTTCCTTCAACGCAGTGTAGGGGAGGGGGCTTGCGAGGTCTTGGAGAGCAATGTTGTTTTTATACTAACCATTCTGGTATTAGTAAGGACTCCAAGGCCCTACTTAGAATAAGACTGCAAGACAGACAATGAGAAACACAACAAAATAAAGGATTGTTGGCCGAGGATGCTCATTCATTCCCAGCTGCCCAGAACTAAAGTAATGACACAGAAACTATATTATTTGTAATACTGTTTAGGCAATATCTTTTTTTTATTGATTTTTATTGAACTCTACATTTTTCTCAGCTCTTTCCCTGCCTCTGAAGAGTCCAAGAATAAGAAAATAAAAATGTAGATTCCAAAAATAAGAATGTAGAAATAAAGAAATATAAAGTTATAAGTCTAGGAAAATGAGAACAGACTATCAGCAGCTTTCTCAGCAGATCAAAGATCATTCATTCACAGTGAGCTATTTTCTCAGATGCTTGGGAAGCTTAGGTCATTTTACAGCTGGCTGTTTTATTTACAAGGCCAGAGCTTCTCCCTACAAATTGAGAGTAGTGTCCTGGCCATCCCTGAAAAAGGACAGATGTGAACTGAGATGAGACAGAGATATGTGACCTTTGGATTAGGCACTGTCTCCATTATGGAAAACTGGCACCACCAGAGAAGAGGCATAAGACTCCAATTTACACCTGGAGGTACCAGGAGACAGTGGACAAATACAATGGTTTAATTAATGAGCTCTGATAATGGAGGTTGTAAAGTACGGCAGTCAGTATCTGAGTTTTACCTTGAGATAGTGTGAAAAGCTTTCTGCTATCTCCTAAATTCTCAGCCTACAAGCTAGTTACTCCTTCTTTATTGACCTTCTAGTATTACTAGCAGTCCCTTTCTGACTACTTGCTAAAGACATCTGTTTTCTCGCAATTAGTGACCTTCGTTGTAATCTCCTCTGAAACATATTTCATGATGGCTGCCTAGTTACCCATTGACATTAGCACTCACTCCCCTCTTTAGGGTCTCCACTGACCAACCCAAGGGTTAGGGGCAGGTTGTAAAAATTACTTTGCTCAGAGCTAATGCTTGGTGCCCCTACTATAAAAAGTGAGTTCAGAAACCTGCCTTCTGCCACAGCCTAAGGAACACCATCTCTGACTATGGTCTCAGCTAGCTGATAAGCTTCTGTGCCCCAGGTGATTTTTAATTTTTATTTTTTATTTTTAAGTTTGCTTCTGGTTTTCCTAGGATCTGGTTTCTGGAATAAAGCCTGCTTCTGCTTTATTAGACTTGGTGGTGTTCTCATCTTTGTGCAACCCCCCCTGGACCCAACATTTTGGTGGCCTGTACGGGGAAGCGCAAATCTGGTTTTGAGGGGACACTCCAGTCTCTGTTTTTTGGCAAACTTTATTATTTTGTGGTTACCAATAGGTAAGGTTCTGGTTCTGGTATCTGGTATCTGGACAGTCTGGAGGCTCAAGAAGATCTAGCAGACATACTTCTAATCTCAGAGTCGCAGGAAAATCGGGGATGCTCTTATTCCTTCTCTAGCCATTAGGTCGTGAGGTGTAGCCTTTTGGAACTGGTATGGGATCACGTGACCCTGCGCGCAGTGATGTCTTGTCAATTCTGTTTCATATCATGTTGTCTGTTGTCAGTCTTCTCGTTGTGGTTGTGTGTGAAGTAATTTCCACTATGGGAAAATCTTCTTCCAAACCTAAGTCTCCCCTGGACCTTGCCCTTTCTCTTTTCCAGGATTTCAGGGAGGCCATTGCAGCTGTTGGCAGCCCCTGTGAAGCTGGAGCTACTCAGATCTTCTACTCCCTTGTAGAGCATTCCCCACCACCACCCCCACCACCCGCCAACTTCCTACTTCAGAGCTGAGCCCCTTTAGCACTCTTTCAGGGAAGCCACAGGTGGTCAGTGGTGGGTAGTGGTGTCTCCTGCTCTCTCTGTCTGCACTGTGGGACCTCCTGATGGGGATGGCAGCCCCTGCCTGGTTTATTTCCTCTTTCAACTAGTGATCTGTATAACTGGAAACTTCAGACTCCTTCCTTTACTGAGAAATCTCAAGTGCCAGATACTGTCCTGTTTACACATTCCCCGACCTGGGGGTTGGATTGCCAGCAATTGCTCCAGATAATGTTCACCACTGAAGAAAGAGATAGAATTCAGCAAAAATGCCCGAAGCACGTTCCAGGATGAGATGGTCAACCCACTAATGAGGCAGTCATTAAGAGATGGTCTCTGAGCCCCTGCTAGACTGCCCACCAATCTAAGACTCTTGAGAACCAAATGGCAGTCAACCTGGATTTTGTCAACTGAGCAGCCCCAGATATTAAGAGGAAGCTCCAGCAACTCAGAGGACTTGAAGGTAAAAATCTGAATAAATTGATTGCTATTGCCACTAAGGTTTATAACAACAAAGAAACACCTGAGGATGAGCAAGTTTGGGACTGGCAAAAGTCTTACTGGCAGATAAGAGCTGGGGGCCTGATGGGCAGAGGGAATACAGACTGTCCCAAATAGCCAACGGGCACTACTCCTTAAGAAAGGATTATTGTGCTTATTGCAAAGAAAGGGGCCATTGGAAAATGGAATGCCCACAAAGGAAGAGGGGCCAAAAAGCCCTGGGAT